TTTCTAAATTTTAATAGTGCAATTTTTTTATGGTTTGAGTATACCATGTCAACATTTTTATTGAATGACAACTCTTATTTATTTAAAAAATACTTTCAAAAATAAAAAAATGAAATTATGAATTCAGCTGAATGTTTTTTTTTAATATTTTGAAAAGTAATTAAAAATATTTAAATAAAATAACTAATATAAACTAAAAAGAAAAGTTTTAGCTAACAATGTTACATGTAATGATATGTATATAACTTATAAAACTGATATTTAAATGTAAAATTTTACAATTTTATTGAGGGTGTTTATTAAGTAATATTTACTATAACGTATTAGTTTATGTTGATTCAGTGTTTGGAATAGAAAATTTAAAAATGACCAAACCAAAAGATCAAAATATTTTTTATAGAGATTACCGATCATATAATGTCGTGTACCATTTATTTATTTATTTTTTATATCAATGCATTAAAAGTTCGTCAATCCTTAATATACGCAAATTGACCTCGCCGTTCAGGTGCATGGGTAAAAGAGTACTAGTAAAGATTTAAGGTGTAACATATTTTTCTTTTTGTTCCTACATCCTAGCCATTTACCAAACAATCATCCAAACATCTTTCCTTTTTGTCCAATTATTTGAATATATTTAGGAAGTTTATGAGAAACTTCTTTTCAGCTCATTGCAGGTTTCATACACTTCATGGTTTCTTGACGCATTCAATTACGCTATTGCAACCAAGATGGACGTGCTGAATTTGAGTATTGGTGGGCCTGATTATCTGGATCTCCCATTTGTTGAGAAGGTGGGGTCATGGCTTTCGAGTCGTCACTATCTTCTTAATACATTTGATTTCATTTGCAAGTTCTAAACATTCTGCTCTTGCTTACGACTTCTAATTGCCATGTTTAGTGCATCGATAGTTTTACTTTTCTTGTATACCCCTAGCCCTCCTAGTTAATTGCACTCTTTGAAATAAAACATCACGGAAAATGAGTACAAATGTAATTGTGAATAGGGGTATCCAAGGAAAAATAGAATTTTTACTAAGTTTAGTATAACTACGAAGATGCACGTGCTACGCACGTGGTATTTTTTTTTTCAAATTATTATTAGTATTAGGTTTATATTTAAAAGTATAACATAATTATCTTTCATTTAGTTTAACAAAAAATTGTGTATTTTATTGAATAATGAAATATAG